ACACTTCTAGACGAGTGGCGAGTTCTATACATTCGGGTGACCGAGTAGCCTTCGTGGACCCTCGAGAATAAATATACAGCTGAGCCTAGTCCCATACGAGTGCTTGCGGTCCCCCTCATCCGAATTTTTTTCTTTGTTTTATCGAAGCTTTGGGACAGAGCACTCGTATTACTTTTCCTTTCTTTCGGGATTACTCCAGGATTTTTTTTTGAGGATTTTCTTTTACTTGAGTCTTTTTCGTTGATTTTCTCAAAATTTTCTGTCATGAGTCGTTGTTACACTCTTTTTTGGATTTCCTGGATAATGTTTTCTTCCAGACTTCGCTTTTGAGATGCATTTAGGCTTGCTATACTTAAGAAACGGTGGATCTCATGGGCATACAGATTTGCTTTACATTTTACAGTGCTTTATTTTCCTATTTCTACTTGCTACTGTTCTTCCTGTACAACATGTTATACCATTTCTGTTCCTATCTGCTACTGTACTGTATAGCATGTTATATTATTCATGTTTCTACTTGCTACTGTTCTTCCGGTATAGCATGTTACCGTTCCACATGCATTCTATTGTTTGTTCTTGCATTGCACATTTTATATTATATATCTTTAAGCATATTTTTTTTATATATAGGATGTTTAGAAGACTACAACCATAGGGCCATTTGATATGACACCATAACTGCACACCCTAGAAAACTTAAACTCGTCACGACAAGGAGCTTGAAGCTAGCATGGTGGGCAGCACGACCATCTACAACAGTAGAACATGTCTTCCCCAGCAAAAACATTTCTTTTCCTAGAAATTAAACAACAAGCCATAGGATTTCGAGATAGTCTGCTTAACGCGGCATAAATCCTCACTTTATCTGTTAGGTTTTTTGCATAGTCAGACTGTGCAATTTAACCCCTAACTTGTTCTAGGTTTCGAGGTTATCGTCCGATACGACGTAAACCTTCATATCTTCCAGGCGACTTGTGTGACCGTGTCACGCAAATATAAACTCTAATTAAATAAAATTGACAGGATGAAACACTTGAATAATTTCTTCTTAAAACTGAAGCCAAACCATAGGATAGACTGGAAAGTCACTGAGGTTCTCCTCAGGATCTGTGGCCTCCCCTGATTTCTCTTTATTTGGATTCCTCAACAATGTTCCAGATTCAAGTTTTTCCTCTTTCACACCTCTTCGTCCGATTTCGTTGTAAAGTCCTATCCTTTTGACCTCTTTGAAGATACTATTCCCTGATTTTTATCGAGAGTTTTCTTAAGTGACTTCGGTCATCTAAGATGTAATTAACTATAGGGGCTTGCCCTTATAGGAAGCTTTTCCGAACCCAGCCTAAAATAAACCATATTTAATTCTTTGTATTAAATAGGGGAACTTGTCGGCAAATAAAACAGTTTTTCTGATCAAACGGATGTCATTTGTTTTTCTTAATTTATTTGATCGAGCCTCACCCTCAAGTCTTGTGTTTATCCCTTGGGATATATACAAGATTTGAGGTAGAGCGCTCTTTCATTTAAACTGTGAAAAATATGAGGTCAGTTTGATTTCATATTTTTCTAAAATTATACATATATATGCAAATTAAACGTCCTTCCGAAGCGGGGAACGAGATTTCAATTCCGGTGACCGACAACTTCTTACGGGCAACTCCACCACAAGCGAATCTCTTTCTACCGCCGACAATATATCATAATTTTAACTGTAATTTTGTTATGTTTTTGTTTTTTAATAGGTTCATAGATACACTTGAGTGAGGAGTATATCTTTTTTTTTTTTTGAACTGTTATGTAGAATTTTTGGATTTTAGAATAGTAAATGTGTTCCCATTACATTACTGTTCCAAACAGCACCAATGCACGGGGCCAAAATGGTTATTTTTTCACAAACAGCTACAAATCAGCTGTTTTCGAACCACACAAATCAAACAATTTAACAGTTTATTCAGTTTAGAGGCGAAATGGTCATTTCTCCACAAATAACTGCAAATCAGTTATTTTCCAACGTTCAAACCAAACAATCAGTCAACTTATCAGGATAAGCTGCTGATCAGCAGCTTATCTGGATAAGTTGAATAAACTGCAGCTGCCCCAAACAGACCCTAAGATACTTCAAAATTGGTGCTTAAAGCCTCTTGATTCAGTTTCAATAGCGATGATGTTGGAAGATGATTTGATCACTAATCTTGACCTACCTAGGGATTAGAGCGACTCCATCCTTCAATGTCTCCGAGTTGGCTGCTCATTAAGTAATATATTCTAAGATTGCTTAAAATGAGAGAACCTTGCCAATCATGTGAGAATGATATGATAGCTAGAGTTTTATTTTGTTTTTTGGGTTTGTGTTTTAGTTTATTGTTGTGCCTCTATGTTTTAGGATGACACACTTGTTATTAGAATAACCTAGCCTTTATAAATATATGTTTTTTTTGCATGGGGTGGAGATAGAGAGTATTTTTTTGGTTGTAATAACCTTTTCCGTATTCTTCCGGGTTAATAAGTGTATTCACTATCTTGGAGTGATCAACCATCTTTCATTTCCCTTTCTTAGGATTTTTCATCCAAGCTCTTCTAGTTTTGGAATAGCAGATTTCAGTTTTTACTTGTTAGGGTTTCAACAACCCTGCTTGACGGAGGGTTTTGGAAGTAACTGGCGTACATGCTCTATTAAAAAGGATGTTATTTCCTCTACTCAGAATATCTTTTAATATTTGTTTGTTCCTACTTTTTTGGTTTTTTAATTTTGTGGGTTTCCAAATTTAAAAGAATTCTAGCTTTCTAATCTGTAGAATGACATTCTAGCCACTCTATTACATATAGTAAGATGTTATCTGTTATTGAAAGGAAAATAGAAATTTATCTCTTAATTTTTCACACTTTATGTTAATCTTCGTATTTTTTTCTTGAGAAAACTTTTTCTTTCTCACCCTACCCCCCCACTCTCGCTCACTCACGCACTCCCACTTTAACTTTTAACACTTCTTGTTCAAAGATTTCCACAACACCATTCTCACTTTCTCTAATATAAAATGTTTTTTGCTTAGAAATGCTTATATTTTTTCATGGGCTTCATTTAAACATGAAGTCGTCTCCTTATGTTTTTTTTGTTAGGGTTGGGGTTTTTCTTTTCTTTTGAAAATAAATGATATTTTCTCTTTCTACAATGAAAGTTCTTTTTAAATGCCCTGGTTGTACTCATCATTTTGGTAGTTAACGTATTTTGCTTAAAAAAATGGTGCTATTTTCAGGCTGTGACTGGCATGCCAATATCCAGATTAGCCGATGTCAACCTTTTTTCAGCGATTTACCAGAATTTATGTTGGATTCTTACGAAGAGTGCCGTGATCCACCACGTCTCCACTTGCTTGATAAGTATGATGATGATCAAACTATTGAGAATTTGATAAAAATGAAAAATATGGGATGTGGTTTTACCATGAATTTTTATTTTTGTGTGTGAATTTGAAAATGAATTTTTATTTTTGTGTGTGAATTTGAAAAATAGATGAAAGAGGGTGGTTAATTTGTAAATAGCAAGTTTTGGGTGGTCTATATGTAATCGCTCCTTAGTTTTTTCGTCCACTTATATAGTTTGTTTTTTCTATAGATTTGACGGTGCTGGTTCTGGAGCTTGTCTGAAGAGATATTCTGATCCTTCCTATTTTAGAATCGCTAGTTCCGATCGGGTAATGGCTGAGAAAGCAAACAGTAGAACGAAGGCTCAAAGAAAAAAGGTTAGCATTTTATATTAAATTGATGAAAATAATTTATGGAGTTTGAAAATTTTTATTAAACATGCATTGAGAGTTAAATGCCATTTATTACCTTTGACTGTGGTGTAAGCCGATAATATTACTAAATACATTCTCATAATTTCTTGTAAATAGGTGTATGATTTGTGCGCCAGTTAAATGATTAAACTTGTAATAAATGAAGTTTAACAAAGAAAAAAAGTATTGTCTTTTGCCTTTATTTTGTTTCTTCTACTACAAAGTTCATTAAATGCTTGTCATTTACATACATATCAACCAAATTCTATGTATTTACATATATCTAACACCTAAACTTCACTTTTTTACATTTATGCCCCTAAAATCCATCATATCACATAAAAAATACTATCATTTTAACTTTTAAAAAGTGAAATACACCTTTTCAAGCACAGTAAGGTGGTACATATGTAAAAGTGAAATGTACTTATCACATACATAAATACATAGAATTTGAGTGGTATGTTTGTAAATCTTCCAGATTTCCTTAAAGAAGCAGTTAAAGGCCTCCCATAAAACCTTGTTGAAGACAACTAAGAAAATAAATTGATACCTCAAAATGGTAAGCAAATGCTTTGTGGCCAAAATGATGAACAAAAAGTAGACTTTCAGTCTTCATCCATTTGGATATGTTGTTGAGAAGTGCCTCGCAGGTATTCATGTGCTCTTATAAAAAGAAGAAACTCAGGTCTGTTTTATGTGTGTGCAAAAACACGAGCTGTCTTTCGGGTCAAAAGAGAGGCGAACCTCGAACATCTCTATCGATATAATTCTATTGAATGATGTATCCATTTCATGTTTGCTAATGTTTGCGACGATGTTTTCTACATTCAAGAGCTGATGTTCCCTATCAGCCAAAAAAAAAAAAGATTAAAAATTTAGGGTTTAGGCCTTCAAATGCCATCCTTAGATGATCTGTAAGATGAAAAAATAAAAACTAATTTATAAGATACTAATTCATAATTTCAGTAAAAATTTACTTATAATGTATAGATGGCAAACACTTCTTATTCATTCTACAAGATAATTTGATAATCACATAACATATGAAATTTAACAAAATATAACAAAGAAAATAAAATTCAGTATATTGTCAAGTTCACACTTCAAAGAGAAAACCCATTATGCATTGTTGGATTCTAAGTTGTATTTTGTGAACAGGCCTCGATAGTTGGCGATAGTTGGAACCGGAGAGAGAGAGAAAGAGAGAGAGAGAGAGAGTAATTAGGCAAATCCCAGTAGAGAAACTGCGGAGAGAGGTCCTTTTATTCATCATTTTGCCTCCAATTTATATAGACATATTTTGTACAATTACAAAAAGAAGGGAATGATTATGGAAACCGCCCTTGATGCTATTAATCCTGCTGATTTAATACCAAATTTGTATTAAATTTTTAATTTGAATATGACGGTAACCACCCGGTGGACTCACCAGGGTTTGACCGACTGAGGCGACCGATCGAATGACGATCGCGCCTGCCAAAGTAAATGTCGGTCGGTCGGCTGGTTGTGATCTAATGCTCTTGCATGGAGTTTGAGCGGTCGGGACTGTAGGCTTGGTTCACCGATTAAATCTCTTGCCATACACAATCGACCGTTTGAATGGTCGACTTAGATCCTACTTTTTTATTCTAATGCCTCGATTGTCGGACCACCATTTGGGACCGCTCGATTGCTTTCAAATTTGTCTCGACAGGTCTAGTGTATATATATTATTTCTCTGAGTTTTCCTGCTTCTTGAAAGTGACAGCTATAATAAGGACACAATGAAATTATTTAATAATCAGTGGTGCTAAAATTAAGAAAATTAATTCGATATTTAACTTTGTATTTTGTGCCTAGCTTGCTCTAAGTCATAGGCTTGGCATGACATCTATTTCCGTCACTTTTTTCTAGTCAATCGAGTTGCATCATGGCTGATGGTTCGAGTCGGATCACCATAGACCCCAAAATTCTTGCTAAGGCATGCTATGAGCTCCCGGCCTCTGTAAAGAAGAACAAAGTTAAGAAAGGGAAACGGTTGAGCCCCAATACTTCGTCAGCTCTCATGACTTCCTCGTCTGCCAAGCAAGATTGGTATGTAGATACCAGAGCATCAAACCATCTTATACCTGATTTTGTGGCTTTGCAAAATTCTGAACCCTATCATGGACAGGACAAGTGTTCATAGCAATGACGACATAGTTCACATCCAAAGTTGCTTCCCACCCCATAATCTTGTTCTCTCTAAACAACTTCACACTCGTCATATCACTCGTAATCTAATCTCTCATCTCTCAACTTGCCACTTATAACAATTGTATTATTGTCTTTGATGCATCTGGCTATCAAATCAAGCATCGCCAAACTCGGCAAATCCTCCTCCAAGACCTTTGCTATGAAGGACTCTACCCCTCTCCCAAATTGTTGTTGCCGACGTCTGGCATCACAGACTCGATCATCCCTACACTACCGTTTTCAATCTAATAGCAAATCAGCACCCTAACTTGCGCATCCCTAACTATGCTTCATTTCGTAATCCATGTACTACAACTCAACATCATTGACTATCTTTTTCTCTATTTAGTAATCACAATTTTTATACTTTAGAACTTATTCATAGCGATTTATGGGTTCCATCCCCATATGTTTCTCATCAAGGTTTCGCTTTTATGTAATTTTTGTTGATGATGCAAATAGATATACATGGTTGTTTCCTATGATTCCCAAATTATAAAAACATAAATTATTTTATTACATTTAAAATTCAAGTTAAACAAACATGTCATCATCAATCAGTTTTCATGCCTAATGACCTCACAAAAAGAAAACACAGACACATCTTAGACACTGTCATATCTCACTTTACCAACCTACCACTTACATTTTGGCCGGATACCGTCTTAACGGTCGTGTACCTCATCAAGAGCATGCTCTGAAGTAACACTGAAAACTATCCTTCGTATCAACTTCTTTATAAACATCTTCCCGCATTCAATAATCTGAGAGCATTTGGATGTGCTTGCTTTCCTTGGATACCTCCACGAAACCGTGACTAAGCTTGATAAAAAAATCAGCACAATGTGTCTTCATTGGCTATCCAACCAATTTCAAAGGCTTTAAATGTCTTCATCCTCCAAGTGGTAAGTTCATTCTATCCTGACACGTTACATTCAATGAATTAAACTACCAATATAAACACACTCAATCAATCACCAATTCCCCACCACAGTCTCCTCTTCCACCTCCACTAACACTCATTTCCACATCTATTCCCCCACAACGCTCATATTGACCATATCAAACCAAGTATCAACAATCATCGCACTCTTGACAACGACTTTATATATGCTTAAAAATACAAAAATTTGATACTGCTGCTAAAAAAATTAATTTCCCGGCAACGCCGCAAAAAACTTGACAGCGGTTATAGATTCGATAAAGATGTATATAAAATATTCAATAATTGTAAAGTCACACTTATCAACGCAAGTATATGTATCGCTCAAGTAATACATGGCTCTAATGGAGTCTTGGATATCGATTTCATAGGGAGTAATATTAGAGGCTACGAACTAAGATTTTAGAAAATTAATACTTAATCACAACAATATAGTTCAAATTATCTGTCACTAATATCTAATATGCAATTGAAATAAATATGTAGTTTTAATAACTCTTAAATAACTAATTCTACTAAAAAAGTTTCTTATGTGAAGTTCAATATATAAGAAAACATCATTCTTTTTGTCACGAAATTAAAGTAAATGGATAAAGTGAATTAATTCAAATTAGATTGTGCCAAATAGGAGCATACTTATTCTTTACCCTTTGGTCCAGACATAAAGAACATTGACTAATCCTATGCTTGTTCACTGAATATGCGGATAGGCTGGGAGGATACCGGCTCTTTCACCTGAAGGCTAACTCTCGCTTTAGTTTTTAAACACTAAGACCAAATTGGAGATTTTAGTCTGTCACCCTAAAGATTCTCCAATTCTACACCCAATCAAGAATATTTTCCTATTTATTTGCACTTAATTTCTTGAATGAATTTCTCCTTTATGAAATTAAATGTGACCCTCACTCTGTTGTAGAACTTATACTCCATTTCTCGGATGTTGTAAAACTTAACATATTTTAACAAATCAGTTGACCAGATTGAAAATAAATTAAGATCATCACAACTTCTTTAACATTCTCAAGGCTCAACCAATTCAAATCACCATTTCACAAAATTTCAAGACAAGGAGAAAGACAGAGAAAACTATTCAGAACTCATGGGGAAGATACGACAAAACTCAGAATTTATATATAAAAACAAAGTCATACAAACTACAATAAGTAA